TAGCTGAAGGATCCAAAAAAATGCCAACATTCCAGCTGCTGCCTGGTCCTTCACCATTTCTAAAACAGCAAGGTCTCACTTTGCAACACAATCCACAAAAAATCAGAGGAGTAAGGGAAGAAGTGCAATTCATACTTAAGAGAGCTGGTCTGGACCAGTTCCTGAAAGCCAGTGACCTCACTGATCCCCAGTACAGTTTGTCTTTATAGTGATAAGACTGGAATTGTATTCATGTTTAACAAAATCATTTGAATCCACAATGACGTCCCTTTAGCAGTGAGAGAAATAAAGGGGAGAGAGCAGAAAAAACACCCTTAACTGAGTTTCTAGAGAATACCAAGAGCTGTCCTATCTTCCTAAGCCCCCAACACAGTCACCTTGTAAGACAGAAAGTCCATTAAGACAAAAATAGGGTATCCTTAGCGTGGGAAAACATTTAGCAAAGTTGTAATTTACTTTCAAATCAGCATTTAAACGATCACATCTTACATCACTTCCTTTTACGAGCCAGCAGTTAGACAATACACATCATTTACATGCAGTTTTGGAAGGCTGCAACATAGATCAACAAAAGAAGCCTTCACTATGAATTAACTATTACAAGACTCTTGGAAAAAGTCACTCCAGCCTGCCTTGAGGGCAATTAGGAGTATCATCCCCTAATTCTCATCTTTCTGGTGCACTCCTGCTATGCCTCAGAACTCCCACAAATACATCCTTCCACCCAAGTCATTGCTGCCACAAGAGAATTACGATGTCTGTGAGATGTAACAGCACACTCTCAATGGTTAAAGTGTCAGATGTCTTTAAAAACAGACACATAGACAACAAAAGAGAAAGTGACTAAGCAAGTTAACACAGTTCAGTATCAATAGCAAAATTACAATGTTTTATGCCTCTACGAATTATCAGATGGTAGAAATTTTAAAATTTCAAAAGTATTAACCTATTGCCTTTAGGTCACAGGTAACTTTTGCATTAAAAACGCAAAATACCAAAAACCAGAATGGAAGCAAACACCCAGTTCAGAACTTATCTTGAGACAAATTTCAGGAGCGTTCTCATTTAGTGCAAGCCAAACTTCATATTAAGCTTACTGCTGGATGTGAAAAACTAAAATCTAACCGCAGCAATGCTAAAAATGCTTCTCCCACTACGTGCAAAAGATCAAAAAAAGCCCTTAAGGCAGCCGATCCCTCGGTGAGCTGGCTGCGAGTCCCAGTTACACGGCAGCGGGACCGGGCTGACTCAAGAGGGAAGGAGAGGGCAGCACACCCGTGCGCCATCCCAGCGGCACCACACGCCAGCGGCAGCACGGCGAGCCCCGGCCGGGCCGAACCCCCACGAGCTGGGCCGGGCCGGGCCGTGCCGAGCCCAGCGCCTCCGCCCTGCCCGCCGCGGGCCCAGCGGCGCGGGCAGCGAGAGGGCGGCCCGGGGCTCCCCGCCCGCCGCGGGCACAGGCGCGGCCCGGGCCGGCCCGCACACGCCGCTCGGCTGCCGCCAGCTGATACCGACCTACCCAAGGGAAATCTCCCCCTCCCAACTCCAGCACCGGCCTGGGACTCCTTAAAAGCGTGAGAAGGAGCAAGCCAGGGGGTTCTGCGGCCGGTCCTTCCCGCCTCGGCTCGGAGGGAACGCTGCCGGCCGCGCTGGGCAGCGTTTAACCCTTTGCTTTCTCTCTAACCCAAGTGGTGCAACTTCCACGCCATCGTTGATGGGTTTCGAACCAACTACGAAAGGCAAAACAACTCTCATTCCCCAGGGTTTCTGAGCAGCAGTAGAGCTCTGCTTGGCCCCAGGACGAATGAGTCAAGGCCCGCTGCCCCTTCCCCTGTGCGGGCCAAATGCTTCCCCAAACATCCCTTCCTTTCTTTTACATACCCAGGGCTGGAGAACCTCAGGTTTTGGGGGTTTTTTTGCCTCCCATTAATTCACCACTGCATAACAAGCTGCTCTTGACACACAAGGCTTCTTCACACAGGAGAGGTGTAAGCAAGGTTATGAAGATTAAAATAATAAAACCTATATAGATTTCAGAATCACAGAACTGTTTGGGTTGGGAGTGATCTCAAAGATGATCTAGCTCCAACCCCTTTGTCATAGGCAGAAACACCTTCCACTAGACTAGGCTGCACAAAGCCCCATCCAACCCAGCCTTGAATGCTTGCAGGGATGGGGCATCCACAAGTTCTCTGGGCAACTTGTTCCTGTGCCTCACTACCCTCACAGTAAAGGATTTATTCCCCATACCTAATCTAAACCAACTCTCAGTTTAAAGCCATTACCCCAATTCAAGCACAGCAACATAAAACTTAGTATTTTTATCACCTCACCACTGAGGTCCCAGGTCCACAGTAACACTAAGCCAACCCATTCAATGCATAAAATGCGGGAGTAACTCCACTGCATTTAGGTGCCAAACATCCAAGGACTGCCCTCACATTTCATACATGTATAAACATCTACACACCTACATGGAGCTAAATAAATAGCTAAGGTAGAACTAACTACAGAAATATCTCCAGCCCGATAGATGAGCTATTTCCAGCTAGCTCAGCTAAGGCAAAGAGGAGGAAAAACAGGGCTATTTTCTGCTTTTCAACAGGTTGGCGCCGTCCCCTTCTCAGCGCTGCTGGAGAGCTGACTGCCCAGCCGGGCAAACGACCTTCGGCATCATCGGCGGGTGTATGAGCTAGACAAAGAGATAACGTCATGGCCTCTCGGCTCCCTCCGTGTCCTCCCCGCAGTGGCAGGTAGCCAGCCAATCCCGCTCCCGGGTGACATCATCGCTGATGCCTGTACACGAATGTGGAAGTGCATCAAACTGCATCTCGCAGCTCGGCGGCTCCTCAAAAGCAAGCGGCACGCCACCCCCAGCCCCTCGGGATGACAGACCGCTTACAAGGGAAATAAAACCATCCAGGAAGAGGGATTTCAAGAAGTGGTTGCTGGGTAGAAGGAAAGCGGAAGGCAACGAGCAAACACGGCGTAAACACGTTTTTCCCTCAGTTATGCAGTTCCTATGAAAGCCCTCAAAACATACACATACAGTCTCATCTTTGGGTGTCACTGGAGCAAAAAAAGTGGCCAAGAAAAGTTGGGGGTTTTTCGCAACAACTTTTGCAACAACTGCTTTTTTTTTTTTTTTTAACATAACTTCATTAGTTTAAAAAGAAAGATGTTTATCGCAGCAAGGAAGTTTTTTGGTTTGGTATTATTTGTTTATATACAGCCCTGTTAGGTGTCCACATTATCAGTGTATGTACACAAATGTGGGCAAATGCCTAGGAAGAAGCAGTGCCAACCCAAACCTAAACACCTGTCAATTCATTACTGTCTAGCAGGCTCAATAGTAAGAAAAGAGGCTGCCTGTTGCTCCCCAGTGCTCCCCACTGCTATCACAGTGACACCAATGCCCTTAGACATCAGGTGTTCGTTCAACTCTTCCAAGACAATAAAAACATGTGCCCATGCATTTATATTTCATTTCTAACTATTCTGGGAGAGCTCTATCTTATTTAAAGAAAACGATATTTAACATTTCTGTTGTCAAGACTGTTAAACAAAGGAGAACTTTGCTCATTAACTCAAAAGCATTAACAAGTACACTGAGAAACAATGCACTAAATTGCAATAATTAACAGGAGAGTTTCAAGTCCCACATTCACACCTTATTAATTTTTTTTTAATAAGGGTTCAGATGATGCAAGCTCTGGGAACAAATGATTACAGAAAAAAATTGTGTCCTTTGAAATGGCAGAAAAAAATTAAATAGTTGAGGTTGTGTCCAAGTGCAGCTTTTTACTCATCTTCCCCCTCTCCTGTGGCCCTTTGAGCCACATTCTTTTTTCCGGCTTTATACCAACAGCAGCAGCCTGGCTATTCCAGCTCAAGTCTTAAAAAGCAACGAATACAGGCAGACTAATTCTCCATCAGGAAGGCTGAGGTTCACGCCCTCAAAACTGACATGTGTTTCATTTGCAGAAGAGGCAGCAAAGCGCTTTATTTAGTTACTGGAGCTGCAAGCAGCAGTATCTTGCCATCAGGGAAACTCAGACCAATTACACTCCCTTGTTTATAAGCAAAAAGAAAAACAAAACAAAAAAAAAGCAACCAAAAACCCAAACAAGCAGCTAAGCATCTTCACCTCTCTCCTTCTCTCTCCAAATGCATCTTGCATTTCTATAGTTTAAGGCTAGAGTCTTCAATCTTTAGCCAAGTATTGTCTGTGCAAATAATTAGTCATCCTGGTAGCCAGCCCTCACTGCAAAGTCATGCAAGCTCAAGATTTGTTTGTTACACTGACTGCACACAAAAGGGTAAAAAAAAGAAAAAAAGGAAAAGTAGGCTAGTTTCACACCCACATGAGCACTCTCTGATTTCTATTTTTTAAAGTCATACACTTGTCAAACAGGTTATTCTGGGAATTCTGATTTCCACAAAATAAGTTTCTCTGCTTTGGTCACTTATTATTGTCACTCTGCACCCCTCATCTCTGCACAGCCCATCAGATGCACTCGCCTCCAACTCCACAGCTTCAACACTCACAAGGAAACCGGGTGACAATTTTAATTAAGGCCAATGTCTTTGTCTAAAGTCACTGCAGCAGCAGCAACTTCCATAAGGATTTCCAGCAGCAAAGCTGAGTAAGCCTGTGGACGTGTTTGTATAACCGAGCCAGACTCTGACAGCGTCCACTTGGTTTGGCCATTTCTCTGGAAGGAGTACAGAAGGAATAAGGACAATAAAGGCGTATTTCATCATTAGAGGATGGGTACTTAGGAAAGTAATTTGTACCCATCCGAAAAAGCAGAAGCCAAGGGGCTGACAAACTTGACAAGGCCAGCAACAATGACAAGGGCAACACTTCTACCACCCCTCACTGGTCCGGTGGCCAGTGCGGGTGGCTCGCCTTCAGCCGTGGGCTCAACCCGGCGCAGGCACCGGGTACCCTCTGGGAAATCGGCAACAATAAAAGGAGAAGAAATTCTGACACAAACCTTGTAGACTTGCCCGTACGTGCCATTGCCAACCACTTCCACCAGTTCAAAAATCCCAGCGGGGTCCTAGGGGGAGGAAGGGGCAGAAGGGGCGGGGGAGGAAAGGGGAGAAGAGAAGCGGGGTTACATTTTTGTTCAGGCGATGGCCGCTGGCAGAGCCCAGCCAGCGAACCCGGCTGCTGGCGGCGTGCAGCTGTTGCGCCCTGTTTTTCCACGCACATGCCAATACATGCAAACAAAGGAAAAGCAGCCCAGGGCCGCGGTCCCCCCGCCCGCCCCCGCGGGAGGGCTCCCCCCATGCGGCCGCGGCCCCCCGCGCCCCGGCACCGGGCCCGGGCCCGGCCGCTCCCACCCCACCGGCCCCGCAGCCCCGGCAAGGGGCGCGCCGGCCCCGGGGGGCCCCCGCCCCGGCCCCCGGCACCGGCACTCACCCGCAGGGAGGAAAGGTCGATATCCACCAGACTTTTTGCAGGAGAATCGTTCGCCATTTTCCCGTCTCTTCTTTTTTTTTTCCTTTAAATATTTTTTTTCTTCTCTGTTAAATAATAGCGAGGCCGCTCCCCCCTCCCTGGAGCAGCTGTGAATTGCGCGGAGCTCCGCTCTTCTCCTCCCTTCCGCCCTTCCCTTCTTCACTCCAGCCCCGCCGGGTTGAAACTCTTCAGCATTGGGAGGGGTTGGCGGGGGGGATGATGGATAGATAGATGGATGGTGGGAAGAGGAGGAGAGAAAGGGAGGTGAAGGAAGGGAAGGAAGAAGGAGAAGGGGTGCTGCGGTTTGTCTGTCCGTCCGTCCGTCTCCCCGCGCTGCAGTGCGGGGCTGGATCCCCCCGAGGATCCCGGCCGGCCGGTCGGTGGGTGAGCGGGTGAGTCGGTGGCTGCCCGCGCGTCCCCGGCGGCAGCGGGCTCACACCATGTCGCCGCGGCGGCGGCAGGAGCGGCGCCGGTGCCGGCAGCCTCTGGCAGCCTCACGATGCGCTCCGCACCCGGGCATGGCACGGCACGGCTCGGCCCGGCCGGCGGCGCTCACGCCGGGAGCCGGCAGTGGCAGCCGCGGCCCCGCTCTCGCATGGAGGGGCGGCTCACGCCCAGCGCCGCGGCGGAGCCCCCGCCGCCTCCGAGCCCTTCCCGCGGCGCTGCCCTCGCATCAAACGGCGCCGGGCACCGGCGGGCAGGGGCTGCGCGTCCCGGCGGCGGCGGGGCAGGGGCGCGGGGCTGGAGCGGGGTGCTGCGAGCCAGACAAAGATAGCCGGGGAGGAGGAGGAGGAGGAGAAGGAGGAGGAGAAAAAATATACTGCGAGCGGAGAGAGAGAGAGAGAGAACAGCTCCCCCTTCCCTTCTCCAACAGGAAAAACCGGCGGAAACGCGCCCGCACCAGAGCACTGCTGGGTAAACTCGCGGGGAGAGAGAAAGAGAGAGGGAGGGGGCCAGCGAGCGCGGGCGGGGAGAGAACCGGCTGCGCAGCCTGCCCGCCCCGCCGCCCAACAATAGCCCCGCGGGGCGGGGGCGGCCCAGGGCGGCCCTTCCCCGCCGCCCCCGGCGCTGGGCCCTGCCGGTGGGAGCCCCACGCGTGTCCGTGCCAGGGTCAGGCGGCCGCGCCACCGCCGGCTGCCGTGACCAGCCCACGCTGCCGCTGCCCCACCGCCGGCTGCCGTGACCAGCCCACGCTGCCGTGACCAGCCCACGCTGCCGCTGCCCCACCGCCGGCTGCCGTGACCAGCCCACGCTGCCGTGACCAGCCCACGCTGCCGCTGCCCGCGCCCAGGGCAAGGACGGGCCCGCAGCCCCCGGCGCGCCTCTGCGGGGCAGCGCGGTCACTGTGGGTCTGTCACGGCTGGTATTCACCGTGCCGGTGGGGTTATTTTCTCTTCCCATCCCCGGTGAGACGACCAGAAAAATGTCACAGTTATCCCTGGCCCGAGACCCCAGGCCCACAGGAAAGACATTTGTGTCTCATGAAGAGATTTCTTCAGAAAGAGACCCAAATCCTGGCCCACAGAACCAGACCCATCCCTCCTATTTTAACACATCGTTTACTGACAGAGCTGTCTCAGGCCCCCTTCCCGCCCAGAATAATCCTCTAGCAGAATTTGAATCGCGGAAAAATCTCATTAACCTCACTTGAGCAAGACACATCAGGCAGTTGCACACAGGTGTAAACCTTGGCAGGATTTGTTTCTCATTGAAGTTCTTTATCACACTGATACGGCAAAAATGTTACCTGCTTGCAAGAGGTCAAGTTATGTTTCCTGTGGGAACCAGGGTTTTCCTCTCTCTTCTAATTTAACCACAAAATTACATATACATAGCTATAAGTATCACAGAAACATACTTTTGAAACAAAGCAAACCTGTTGAGCAGAAAGTGTAAGGATAAATTACCATAACAGTTTAATGGCATACTTCATTTTCACTTTAACTGTAGATACAAAGAAAGGAAACTCCAGCCTAGACCAGGAAACTTTGTTCTCTGTACAGGAACCTATAGTTGGGAAAAGGCAAATAATTTCAAATGGATTCGATGCTGTGTCTGCCTAAGTGCATGTACAGGAATAAGGTCAAGTCTAGAGGTGCAGTAGGTTTTGAAAAGTGGATTTCCAAAAAGATTTATTATCATTGGCCTGGTTTGCATTACATGGCTTATTTAACTCAGCCTTTTTATGTGTAAGGGAAGCCTTGGTAGGTTAGATCCATTGCCCATCTGTCCCAGCATCCATCTCCAGATGCAGCCAGCAGTAAACGCTGAGAGAAGATCAATGGGATACTTTAACCATCCAGTAATACTTCCCTGGCTTATCTTACCTACTCTCAACAGCTCAGGGAGTTCTTTAGCAGCATTTGGTGTCACTGCATTTCATATTTTTTGATTATATTTTCCTTCCATTAGATTGGCGATTTACTTTGTGGATTCATACATGCCTGTGGCTCTTACAGTGTCCTCTGGCAGGGAGTTCCAAAGCTGAGCTAGCATGTTGTGTGGAGACCACTTTTTGCTAGACTGAACAAAGAAAATCCTGATGGTTCTTGTTTTGGAAGAGACACCAATCGTTTTCTATTCATTTCCTTCATTATGCTCATTTTTTAGACTTCTGGTGTGTTTTCCCCTTGATTTTTGCCAGTTAGCAAGTTTTGGTCTTTTTAGTGATACCGTGAATGGAACTCTTTCCATATTTACCCTTCATTGAACCATTTCTGCTTTCCATCTAATGTTCATGCTGGGTTCCCCATGCAGCATCATAGTGATGTCCTCATTTGTAATCCTCTCCTAATCCTTCCTTTCTTCACTGTTGTTGAGTATGAATATGACATTCCTGTGGCATATGTCTATTATAACTCCAGAATCCCCTTCTGTAATGTTAATACTACCTCAGAAACTGTTACTATATATTTCTGAGTGCTGAAAGATTTTCAAGCCCAAACTCTGAACTGTGAATTTTCCAAGCCCAGGATGAAACAACTTCCTTGTGCCTCTGAAAAGTACAGCCCAGGATTTTAGAGATGAGGATCTGAGCCTGTATACACATTTTCACCATTCATATTTTCACCAACACACATCATTTCACCACACCTCTGATGTGGCTCCACCACAGTGGCCCCTCTCCGCTTTAAGTTTATTTTTTATTACAGTGAGATCAGTTCTTTGGTGTGTTTTAGTATTATACTAAAGACTGCTAAAGTGCTAGCAACAAGACTGTGAATTATTGAAAAGTAAGGCATCCACTAACTTTAGGGAAAAAATAGTTTTCATAAAGCAATAAATGCCACAATGCCACAAGAGAGCTTCCTGCTAGTTCCCAGAGCAAAGCACCACGACGCCTCACCTTCCTTTTCCTTCCTACTCAAGTGGAGGGATGAAAGGCTTGCTTTTTTGAGGAAGAAGCCTCTTCAGCTGTGGCCAAAACCACTCAGTTCACATCTTCGTCATGCTCTTCACCACCTCAGTGTTCTTACCCAGTTTGAAAGTCCAAAGGTTGAAAGACCAAACCTAAAATTACTGGAAAGATGAGCAGTCTGTTTTAACTCTTCCTCATAGTGAAACCAGCAATCCTGAAGTGAGACGGAGTGAGAAAGCCATCAAAAATCATAATGAAGACTAAATGCAAGGAAAGGCATTTTCACCCCTGTGGATTGTCACCCCACAGAGCACACACAGTGTTTCTAATGACAAACTTCAGTAGAAGCAAAAAAAAATCCACTCCATCCATTGGGGAACAAAGCAGGAGAAGGCTGGGGCCTATGTGATTCTTTCCATCATCCTCAGACTCAGTTGCACCCATTCCTGCTCAAACTGCTCATAGCAGTGAAGGGAACACAGAAGTTGTAGCTCCCCCAGCAGTTTCAGCATCCCTGAAAGAGGGGTGCTGAGCCTCCCTTTCTCTGGGCATTTTTTTCCTATTGAATGGCACCTCATCTCTTGTGTGGGTATGAGCATTCCTACAGCTGTGTAGTGAGCCAGGACTCATAGCAAAGCTAGCCCACAAAAGGAAAATAACTTCTAATGTTACTATTGATCAGTTCCCTGGGTTGGTTCATCACGTGTTCTCCTTGAGCTGTTGTGTTAACAAAAGGGAAACAGAGGGGTCAGAAACTAAGTGGAGGGCAGGAAGTGTAACCATAGCATTGCCTCTTGGTTGTGGCTGTGGTTTAAGCCAATTTCAGCTCTCAGTGGACCCATAGGAGTAAAACTACAGAAACTTCCTTCCTTACTGGAAGAGACACTGTGGGAATGATGGGAACCCAACATTTATATTGTAGCCACAAAAGAAATTCCTTGCCTTCTATTTTTTTAAGTTCTTTGAAATTGTCTTTGTTCTATAATTTTCCACTTTTAATATGCCAGGGCCCTAATCACTGACCAGAGATGCAGAGGTCATCAACTGCATTAACTTTTTATGAGCTTAATCATCAACAGTATTCAAAGAGATGAGTAAAGAGACAGGAAGTTCTGAATTTTCATTTTGTTCTACTCCTGATTCATCCCACAGCCTTGGGGCATCTCATTTCCTGCTTCCACTCCCGTTCTCTGTGTGGAAAATGGGAGTGATTTTGACCTCCTTTATAGTGTGAAGTGTTAGACATGTGCCCCGTCATACTCTGGGGAAATGGTTCTCTCCTTGGCTGAAAAAATCCCTGAGGGAGGCTCAAGCTAGGGTGATAAGTAACAGAGGACAGGCTAGTGAGTGGGGCTGAGTGAGGCTTTGCATAGTCCAGCGTTCCTGCTGCAAATGGAGCAGAAGGAGGCTGGAGACAGTTCTCCTCATGCTATTTATTACAACACATACTGGGAGTAGATCAGTTACAAAAGGATGCCACACAATCAGCCTCCCTGCGGCTTAGGCTCCTCTCCTCCTCTGCTGTTTCCACCACCCCTATCTCTCACCTCCATGTGAGAGCTGCTCTATGTGATCACTGCTGGCGCACCCAGGTTTTCCCATGCTGCATCTTAATAATGTCATATGGGCTGGACATGTTCCTGCAGCTCTGCTTGCCCAGTTGCACACACGCTGCTGCTGGTGACTTCCTGCTGCTTCCTGCTCCTCAGGATACTGCACTGCCTCCCACACTGATGGGTTTCCCTCATTCCAGCACGCAGCCAAGGCTCAGGAACGTAGCTGGACCCAAGCTTGGGGTCGCACATGTAGATGATGATGTAGGTGACATAAGGGCCAAAAAGGAGCAGCTTTCTACCAGCTGTACTCTTTGAGGCCATCACTGCCCACACTCTGGCTGGCTTCATCTGTTAGCATTTTGGGGACTGGATTGAAAGGATCCTGAAACACAGGGGTTGTCTAAATATAGCAGTCCCACT